GCCCTAGAGAAGAGCAACCCGGTACAGTTGTAGAGTGGGAATGGCAACCGGGTTGGACCGATACATAGAGGACGTTCAAATACGTTTTTTGGGTATTCAAGCCTGCAATTGATTGTTTTGCTAAATGTCCTCTGGTGATTAGTATCAACGGGACGCACTTGCGTGGCGGATACAAAGGGAAATTACTTACTGCAATGGTCAAAACTGCGAATAAGCGCATTCTGCCAATTGCATATGTGATCGTGGATGAAGAGAGTGAGGAAAGTTTGTCATTCTTCTTGAAGCATTTGAGGAATCATGTTATATCCGACCGTCCTGTGTGTGTTATATCCGATCGGCACAAGGGTATCATCAGTGCAGTACGCCTAATGCCCGAATGGAATGCATACCACCGGTTTTGCCTTCGTCACATCCATAGTAACTTGGTGGTGCAGTTTTGAAGTAAAAAAATCAAAAGGTTGTGTTGGGAGATGGGTACGAAACTTTCAAAGTCTAAATTCAAAGAACTAAGGAAAGAGCTACGTGATTCTAGCAATGATGCATATTTGTATCTCGAGGAGATTGATGCTTGTCAGTGGATTCTTGCCAAAGACAAACACTATCGTTGGGGTAACCAGACAACCAACATTTTTGAGAGTTACAACAACATCCTCAAGGGCGTTCCTTTCTTATCGATCCGAGCTTTGGTGGAAGCCACTTTTATTAAGACTGTGGATTTGTTCCAAGGAGAATACGTGGAGTCGAGGAAATGTATTTCGCCGGTCCCAATTGACTTATGGGAAGACTTCAAGAAAAAAGAAAAGAAATCCGCGCAACACAAAGTCAACCGTTATGGTGCTATTAATGGCAAGTTCAAGGTGAAAAGTAGAGCCCGACTTGGTGGTAAAGGGGACAACACGTACACTGTGAAATATGAAGAGAAGAAGTGTTCTTGCAAGAAGTGGAAGAGTATAAGTTCCCTTGAACACATGCACTAGCCGTGTGTCGGAAGATAAAAGATCAACCAATCAATACGGTGAATCCATATTTCAGGATTGTTGCTTGGCAAGACCAATTTAGTGGGCGCGATGACTTTTCCCCGGTCCCTGATAAGAGAAGATGGCCTAAGGTTGGATGGAGACTCGTTCCTAACTACGAGCGAGTTATTATGCATGCTGGACCCAGTCGTTGGCAAAAGAAGAGATTTAAAATGCAAATGGATTATAGAGGATGCAAATCGAGGGGTGAATGTTTGAGATGTGGCTCAAGGAATCATTTCACCAATGCGTGCCCAAAATCACACAAGAAATCCGAAAGGACAAGGCTCAAGATCAATTGGGACGCCGATGGTATTCACAACGACTAGGATTGTTGTTTGAATTGTTTGAATTGTTGTTTATGTCTCAAAACAATGTTTCATGTCTCAAAACTATTGTAGTTTATGCTTAATGAATTAGTTCGTTTAATGTATTGTTGTTGTGTTTGAAACTAGTACTTGTTAAAAAAGGGCAGGTGCAACAATTATCAAGTGTTTTTTTGTAGTTTTAGGGTACAAGTCGGACTTACAAAATCCGATCTAGGAAATAAGTCCGATTTCTAAAATCCGAGTTTTTAAGAAAATCGGATTCCAAAAATCCGATTTAGTGCCTAATTTGGATTTCGTAAATCCGACCTTGACACTGTTCACTCCAAGGTCGGATTTAGGATGAAGGTCGGATTTTGGTGAAAATTTGAAGCCAATTTCCAAAACTCTCTATCCAAGGTCGGATTTTTTCCCCTATATTGAATAAATCGAATTTTGTGAATCCGGTTTTCGGGGACTATATATATGTTTGACCAAAATTTTGGGGAGTCAAAATCGACTCCCCCTTCTTCCCCAACCCTAACCGGCGAATTTCCCCCTCCCGGCGAATCCTTCTACTGGCGATAAGCCCCTCCCAGCTGGAATCCCCCCTCCCTGGGACCGGAATCCCCCTCCCAACATCTCTCCTTTGTACCGGCGACTCCCCCCTAACCCGACGACTCCTCCCCGGCGACTCCCCCCTAACCTGACGATTCCGGCGAGTTGTACTCTGCACCGGCAATTCTCCTTCGCGGCGACTCCCGCGTCTCTCCTCCTTTTCGGCGACCTTCCTGTGGGCCTTATTCCCGGTGTTATCCCTCTCCCGGCAAGGTTGGTTTTTTTTTTTTTTGGACGCCGATGTGTGTGTGTGTGTGTGTATTGGAAATTTTGATCTTTGCTATGGGCAGGAATGTAGTTTATGGCGATGTGCTTTAGATTGTTAGGAATTACACCCGTTAGTGATTTCTTTGATGGGAATAAGATTTATGCACAGTGTTTAATTAACGAGTGTAAACTTCCGATCCCAAAAAATGCTCCAAGAGAGGCCTATACACAGAGGGCCCGTGCCTTACTTTTACTAGTGATTGGAGGTTTCTTGATTCCTGACAATACGGGAAACAGAATACCACTTTGGATCCTGACAATACTAGAGGATTTGGATGTCTGTGCTACCTACAGTTGGGGGTCAGCTGTGTTGGCGAAGTTGTAATTTGCTTTGTGTCAAGCTTCCGCGCCCGGGAAGAAAGACATTACCGGATGCTATATGCTGATGCAGGTAAATTTTTTTGTTTGTTTGTTTATTTATATTTTTTATTATATTATTGTTTGTTATTCTAATTTGTGCCTTTTCTGTTTGATTTAAAATTTCAATCATGGGTTTGGGAGCGTATCCCAAGACTTCAACCGAAGAGGAAGGTTAAAGATCAGAGTTACTTGGTGCCGGACGCTCCACTAGGCAATAGGTAATTATAGATTTATTTTATTAATTTTTATTTCTTATTATGTCTCAAAACAATGATTTTTTAACTAGAATTCCTTTCCCTCATAGGTGGAAATGTCCAAAATCCAAAGCGAACATCACCGCTCATTGTGTTGCTGGCATCAGGGATCAGTTATCTAGCCTAAGGGATGGGGATGTAAGTATTGATTTAAGTTACTCGATAAAATTCTTTTTTATTTTTTTCTCTATTTTTTTAACCAATTTTTTAATTTTGGCCAGTCTCTATGGACTCCATACACTCCTTTCATCGACGATCTCTCTGATTTCTGTAAATAGGGGGGTTCATATCTACCTCTGTAGGACGTGGATCTTTTGTTGGGCCATCAGAGAACCATACAAGCCCAATTGGGTCCTTCATCAATTTCAGTGTAAGCAAACTGTGCCAGAGTACCCGTTAATCAATGACATTGATCGCTGGAATGCGATACACCATGGATGCCTTGGGAATGGAAAGGCATATGATGATTGGGTGCAAAAAACACACCGAGGTACGACCTCATTGGAATGTGAAAGATCAGCACGTGGCTCCTCATGAATTGGTTGATCCGGAACTAGGTCCTCAGTGTACAGCAGACTACATGCCGTGGTTTCAAAAGAAGATTATCAGATTTATGACTGATTCCACTCAATACGGCCCTCTGTCAGAGGGTTATCACTCGTCTTCATCTCTGGAGAGATTTTATGTAAGGTATATGTCGATATTTTATTTTAAAATTTTTCTATTTTTTAATTCTTGCTATATCTTATACTTTATTAACATAGTTCAATTTTCTGCAGTCTTCAAATCTCAGCGACGTATATCATCTCGTTGATGCAGTCTTACGGGAAAATCCAGGTATCGGTGGTAGTCTAGAGGATAAACTCTTGCAAATCTTCGACAAGAGTTTCAGTGCCCTGACTTTGGGCCCACGTGAAATGAGTACTCAGCCCGATACTCAGGTTCTTCAGAAAAGACAACCGGAGTCAAGTCAACCTGTTGTGCTCACGTAGAAAACAACATCGAAGCCTACTGGAGGAGGAAGGAGAAAGCGACAGGGAATTTCAAATCGAACAATCATAGTTCATCCCAATCCAACTTCGATGCAAGAAGATAATGAAGGCAATGAAAGCAATGAGGATTACTACATTGGGGGCGAAGACGAAGAAGAAGAAGAAGAAGAAGAAGAAGAAGAAGAGTCCTTTCCACCTCGTGTTTCTTCCCAAAAGAAAAAGAAAACGGTCGAGGTTTGCAAGAGTGATAGGGTTAGTAAACCGGCCGAGAAGTATACTCCCGGCGACGGAGCTAGAAGGAAGAAAAGGTCGTCCAAGTAATTCAATTGTAGGACTCTTTGATGTGTATTAGGAATATTTGGATGTTTTTTATGATTTTAAATTCTTTAATTTTATTTGTTGTGATTTGGATGATTTTGGAATTTGAATGCTTTTGAATTTGTTAATGTTTGTTACGATGTGTCTCGAATGTATTTATAGCTAATTTTATGCGTGAAATTTGGTTTTGGTGCTGTTGTGATAGGTTGGGATTGGTTTAGAAACCAATCCTTTATTTTTTTTAAGTTTCTGTCCAGAAATCCGACCTTCCATTTGTTTTAGTAAGAAATCGGATATTGAGAATCCGAACGGATTCTCAAAATCCGATTTAAGCTTACCCGGATTTCAGAAATCCGACCTTGGATTAAAATCGGATTCCTAAAATCCGACCTTGGTCAAAATTTCAATTCAAAAAAAAAAAAACTAAGTGTTTTTCTTCAAAATATTATATTTTAATATGACAAGGTCGAATTTTGAAAATCTGGCCTTCTCTTAATCTTGATTACTATAATTAATTTTTCGTATTAAGGGAAGGTCGAATTTTGAGAATCCGATTTACTGTGAAAATCGGATTTTAGAAATCCGATATCAGTATTTTACTTTTCTCCAAATTTCGACCTATATTTCTCTCTTCTCCTATTTATGGGCCATTTTTTTTTTTATCAAAAACACAAACAAACTCACAGAACCCTAGACCATCTATTTCCTCACTTCCTCCTAGCCGCCTCCCGAATCCTCATTTAAATTTAAAACATTACATCAAAATCATTCTTGGATTGAGTAATGTCTTTTGCACATTGACGCAATTCTTCTGTTCCTTTTTCTGAATAATACAGCTTCAGTGTTTCTTAACAAGAGCCAGATTTCAATCTAAGAACCAAACATTCTGAGAAGTTCGAATTCAACGACAAATGTCCGAATCTCCATTGGACCCAATTCTACCCACAGCTTTTCTGCATCCACAGGTCCACCTCTTCTCTTCAAACCATCTTCATTCTGTTGCTCATTACACCCTTCTTTTGCCCTCCAATCAAGTCTCTTCTTCTCCATCTCGCTTCTTTCTTGATTTGCTGACAAATTCATTTCCGCAATCTTGCTTATCTGCGACGCCCCAAAAACAAAGGCATAAACATACACCACTCTCTAATGATATTCGGTGTCTCAAAAACTAATTCAACACGATAAACTAAAGTGCTTTTGATTTATCATACCTTACGGTCAGAGAAAAGCTTCCTGAGTTCCACATTTGCTGTGACAGAATAGTCTTCATCTTCTCCAATCTTTTTTCCCATGAATCCAAACACGACCCACCATACAAAGTTTTACTCCAAGTGTCAAAATCAATAATCATAATGGTGCCACGACTTGGATAACAAGTGAGTGCAAAAAAGCTTTGCTATTTATAAAGATGCATGCGATGGACTTCCTTATGTCCATATAATCTATTGAGCATTAAACATTGAAATTGAACGCAGATGAAATATGAACCCATAATGTGCTACGCAAAGAAGATTTTTCAACACCTTTGATGCAGACAAGTTTAAGATCTTATACAAAAGGACAAATATTTGTCCTTCTATTATAGGTTTATTTCCATCAAAATATGGGATTCTTCCTTCATAAAAAAAATTCAGAAAAATTTGGAAGTGACTACCTCATATAGGTGAGCCAGCCGAATCAGTACTTTGCCATCTTCGAGTTCCTGCAAATCCCAAATCCAGTGAAACTAAATCCAGGATAAAAGGCTCCCAACCAGTTGATTATATCAAAGGGTTTATGGTAAGAGTATCTCGATTAAGGTACATGCATACCCAAGCAGGAGAAATGTAATCAGACAAACCTGGAGAGTGAGAATTGCAGTGTTATTGGGCAAACTGTAGGAAGGATCAACCAAGGAAAATGATGCTCTGTGAGATGCCAGCCAGTGATTTCCATCCTCCTGCAGGAACACCAAAAATTCAGTCTCCTACTAGTTGTGCGTACGACATTTGAAACAAAACAGAAACTGGTACAAGACATAAACTACCTCAGAAAATGCAAGAAGAAATGGTGAATAAACTTCCTGTCCAAATGTGCGGCGCCATTTCGCCCCTTCTCTTCGAGGATCAATTCTTACATAGAATTTTCCTTGAATCTGCGGGAAAGAACCATCACAATAAGACGATACATCAGTGTTTGTGAAGCTCAAAAACAATGTTAAAATCATAGTCTATGAGAAATTTTCTAGAAAAAGAACAGAAATGAAAATTCATTGCAGAGATGGCGCAACGAAGCAGAAAATATTGCAGGTAAGCAAATACGAAGGAAAATGAAATAGAGAGAATTTGGTTGCTGATATAAACAGCTCAGATAATGTAAATCCTGGCAGGACATACAAGTACACATGGATAACCAGACACTACAATTCCTGTAACTACATTCCTTATAATGCATACCATCAAGCCTTGGCAAGTGCTCTCTTCGGCACAAACTTTTTCATTTAGAACCTCTCCGACACCTCTGGCATCATCACAAAGCAACCTCCTAAAGAAAATATATGACAGATCAACTTACATCACATAAAATCGTACTTTTCTTAGGAAGTAAAAGATTGTGATGCTTTTAAATAGAAACTTAGACTTTGGAGAAATTCAACTGAAGAACAATATGCATGACTAGAATGATCATCAAACCTATGAAGCATGAGTTCTATTTGACCATCAACCAGGCTTGTTCCACCAACTGCTCTGTCCACCAAAACTGAAAGTTCTGTGGCTTCATCCTCCAAATAGATTCCCAGGTTTATCTGATGATAGAAAATGGAAAAAAAAACTCTTAATGACAGTCCTAGATAGTTATACCGTCATAATTTTGAAGGCTAAATAATCGTTACAATGATTTGACGTACAGGGTAGTAATTTCCAGCTACTGGTTCATTGACTTGCAAGTCCCAATCATCTCTGTAGTCACGCACCTGAAACACATCATTCACAGAAATTCATAAAGAGAATGGTGACAAATGTTAAAACATTGAGTAAACAATCATGATTTTACATAATTACAAATAGAATAGCAAGTATTGACATACTCGTTTTATGAAATCTCTCCCATTAGAATCTGTATAGAATGTTTTGTTGCTCGTCAAGGAGGTAGCAATTTGAACTGTTACTTCTTTTCCAACACCATCATCCACAGGAATGGGACCAATCTACGAATGAATACAGATACCAAGTTTTAAATCCAGCTAGCATCAGTAACTAAAATCCTCAATAAAGTTAAACTTACAGTGAACTCAATTTCAGCATGTTCCTTGTCTTTATACACCCGAGTAATCTGAATCATCAAAATTCACTGAAAGTGTCTAGTAGTAGAATACTCGATATCATCAAAAAAAAAAAAAAAACACAATGTCACAACTCCAAAATTTGGTTCGTACTCTTTACTAACGTCACACCATATTCAGTTTTTTCAAAAACAACAATCAGAAAGGGAAGCACTCAAAAGACGGGCACCTGATGCAACCATGAACTGAAATGTTGATGTATTTCATCCAATATGGGACCACGTACAACCATCAGAGGGTCCTAAAAACACAAAGGAATCAGTGGGACCGCTAATAGAAGTCATAATAACGCATAATAAATGCATGATTACCTGGGGGCTGGGTTTTAAGGGGAAGGTACCATTCGGTCGGAAGATATATGCCCCGGAACCCTTTTATATATGAAGGCAATAACCATGATAAGTTTCCAAATAAGATTAAAGGTAAAAATATGCTTGAGTACTTAAAAAATCGTGAAAAAAGTAACAAAATAAAAATAAATAATGAAATAAAATCAGATACCTGATCCACTCTTCCAATGCCATTATAACCAGCGTAATAGCTGTATGATAGCTCAGCAGATGTCGTGACCTTTTTAAATATTAAAAAAAAAAGATGCATTAGAATGGATTCTTATAGAGAGTCGATTGCTTCCACTAAACGTTACAGTTGTTATTTCGCTGATTTTCTCACATATGCTGAGTTGCACACAATGAAAGCAAAAGCAATAAAAGCTTCTTCAGAACCCAGTAATTACTGATTGTTTAATTTCATTATTGTTGCCTTCAAGAAACAGATGATATTCACAAGTTAACAGAAGGGTAGAAAGTGGTGATAGGTAGCATTACCGAATTCCTGTTATTGATATATCTAGCAAGTTTCCCGTCATCTACACTGTAAAGCAGTTTCAAATTCCCTTGGCCAACTGTAATCGTTTTATCATCATTTCCTTCTGATGGATAATGCAATTCAGAGGCAAAAGATCTAGAAAAACCTGTTCACGACATTCAAAAAGGCACCGGAAAAAAGTAAACAACCATGTTGTTTAAAGTCACAAGCACATAATAACAGATGGAAAAGAGATTATTAGTTGACCTGTAGATTTTGAGTTTGAGATAATATAAGTGCTAAATCCAAGGGGCGGTACTGATGCTGAAAAGGCAAGCCAATACCTGTCTGAGTTACTGCTATCTGATAATCTACCCAAATATGCTTTTACATGATAATTTCTTGTAACCAAAGATGCATTTGAGATAGGAATTAGTTGAGACTCAATTTCTCTTCCATCAGAATCCCAAACAACCAAATCCTCAGAAGAAACAGGAATTCTAATAACTTCCTTTCTTTTCCATCCTAGAGGGTTATAGGCGACAACAACCAAACTTTTCCCACCAGATAGATTGGCTTCTGATGGTGGGCAGTAGCTTATATTCAGTAGAGGACACTGCTCAAATTTGGTCACTGGCTCCTTGTTCCCATATGCCAGTTTTGACTCAGTTAACATAGCTAGAGAAGATGCAACCACTTCCTCTGCTTCTTTATAGCCAACAAAAAGTCGCATAGCATAATCTGCAGCCACATGTTGCCTTTCTGTTCCACTGATGGCGTCGTGATGTTGAGCAAGTGCAAGAGCATCAGCCAGTGCATCGGTGTTTGGTCCGATGGTACTTCGGCCTTTGAAAAATTCCAGCTGTCTCGCGGCCTGATTTTGAACAACACCTCAAAGGGATTTATTACATAAGCACACATGAATTCTATGAAACAAAGTAAGGAGATTAAAGAGAGAACCTACCCACCAGAAAGTATGCGCTCATCATTCTAACGTAACCTTTCAAGGCTGGTCTACTGGTAAAGTAACCAGTCCAATACGCATTATCATTATCAGCATACCTAGAGAAGACAATTTCTTTTAGTTACCCCAAAAAGAAACTAAAAAAGAAACTTAACTGTCATCTCATGCCGTCAAGTTACTAACGGGAAAAAGTCACCAGTTTTAAGGGGCCATTCCTCATTAGCAGCATGCTTTGCTTCGGTATATATTGATGGTGTAGAATACAAAGCATTCACACGACCATCCTGAATGAAATCAAAAGAGTTCTGAATGAGATGGGTAAAAAAACAGTAGCACGAAGAAGATTAAACATCTGTTTTCAACTAATAAAACCCACAAAAATGTTCACGCACCAGGTTCACATAATGAATAAACTTATCCATCTGTCTGAACCATGAATTTGCATATTGATATCGAAAATCCTCCCCCATAGTCCACATTATATGATTTGTCCTGGTTACATTTGCCTGAGAATTTACACACACACACACACACACAGATAAATAATCATACTGGAAGAGTCTCAAATATTTAGTAGTAGTGTGCTGATAGAAAATCACCTGTATTATAGCAGCTTGAACGAAATCGTTGACACGTTCTTCAACATTATAGTCAAAGAGGGTGAGGTCGTCCTGCACACAGACATTCCATGCAAGGAGTCAATAAAAAATACTCTGAATAGCAATTCAATGCCATTAATATAATTATCCTGATGATGGAAAAGCACCTGAATTGGCAAGGACATATCATTAACTTCAAATGAGAACCCATCCGGAGGATTATAATGGACAGGGAATATCCCAGTAAATATCTGACATTCAACATTTTTACCAAATATTGAGATTAGATTGGTGATTATAGCCACGTCAAAGAGGAAGACTTGCAGTTTTGTGTGCACAAAGTATTAGCTAAAGTGAAAATGCTATTTCCACAAGCAATATAAAAAACAGAGAAGGTGCAAAATAAACTCCAAGGATATAAGAGACCTGTGATGATGAGCCAAGTGATTTAGATCCCCGCCAAACGACCTCAAGCAACTTGTTATTTTTCCGTTTAGTTCTATCTTGGTAATCAATCCGTGCAAAGAACAGCGAGTCAAATCCTAGCTGCAATGTAAGGCTTGTTCTATTTTAAATGTTGTCACATGGATAAGACTGTGATGGTTGTCGAGACAAAGACAAGGGTGACGGGTATAGTGAGAGTAAACTAAGATGTAAGAAGTATGCCAGAGATAGATACCTCGGCACCAAGCAAATAAGCCTGAATTGCAGAATGACCGAAAGGGTCGATCTGCCAGCCAACTCGAGGTCTCTGGCCGAACTCGCGATAGATAAAACGGTGCCCAAGAGTGGTTTGATCAATCATGTCAATGTAATGTGGGGTTGCCTCATCATGCATACACATTCCTCCATTACTGAAAGAAAGCGCCAAAAAAACAAAAAAAAAAAAACAGAAAGAAAGCGATCAGTCGAATTCATTCCATCAGGGTCAACGAATAAGTGATTCAGTAACAATAACTGATGTTAGATTCGGTTACATGAATTCGAGCTGACCAGAATTGACAAGCTTTTTGACTTTTGACTTGAGAGTGTCAGATTGCTGGTTCCACCACCGCTGGAAGAATGCCTATTTTTTTTGGATTAAACAAAAAATGAAAAGAGCATTGTTCACCATCATCGTCCATATTACATAACACTAATATTATCAGAAATTAACAAAAACAGTCAAAGTAAATTGGAATACTAAAAGTTGAGCTGTTTGGGACAAATGGGAACTTGCCATTTCAACATAAATGAACTTGCGATTGGGGTCATCCAGTAGAGCTTGAATCACAGAATCCAACACGTTCTGGACGCAGGCTCCGGCCGGGGGCTTGACCCGAATGGAGGAATTAGTACCTGCGTAGTACTGATCAACAGTCTTCAACCACCCCACATCATCATGTGTGTGAGGAACTAAGTGAACGTTGACCTTGTGAGGGACAATTTCGCCGGACGTGTTGTAAACCATGTACTTGCCCTCCACCACCGCCAGCAACTCCGCCGTCACCGCCACCGCCAGGATGATCATCAACCACGGAATCGGGGAATGAAACAGTGAGGATCCATCCATTATCTCCTCCTTCTCTTTCAACGAACACCTTGTGATCACTTTCACTAATTTAATAGGCTGAGAGAAAAAAGATAGGGACCAACGTCTCATATCGAGTTTCAAGCAATGATGTTTGCTTCAGGAACAAAAAAGGAAAGTTCATCTTTATCCGTAAAATCTATTTTTCCGCTCTCCACGAACCAAACAAAGAAAAAAAGAAAATGAAATGTTGTAATCATACAGATAATTAGATAATTGCGTTCATAAAGTACAAAAACCAAACAAAGTAAAAAAGGAAAATGAAATGTTGTAATCATACAGATAATTAGATAATTGCGTTCATAAAGTACAAGTAATATGTTTAGGCAAATAACGAAAAAGGACCCATTAGATGTTGAAAAGGGAATGTTGACGGATATATCCCAACTTTTACCCTCTGCTAATCAATTCATCCCAAACTTTTAAAATTAAGTGATTATACACCAAGGTTTTTAAAATTGAGTATAACCATTCCATAACCTGAAATAATACAAAATTGACCTGATACAATAGGTAAAAATTGTTAGGGTGATGATACTGCCAAAACAATAATTAGTATCCAAAACAAAATATTTGTGAGTTGTCTAAACTACCCTTACTAATCAAGTCAAACCTATTTTCACTTCTAACTTCAAATCTCCAACTCTCTATCAAGGCCGCCGCCCCTCAGTTCCTCCAATCTTTTTTTCTCCACTATCTTATCAGCATGTATATCTTTTTCTTTCCTACATGTTCACTCTATCTCTGCAGCTATGTGTTCATTGCGGCAAATTTTCTTATTTCCATTTATATTATGTCCAATTTCTCTACTGATTCTTTTTCAAAATCTCTAACAATTCTCAGCACCCAAAAATTTTAAAAGCCACTTTGTGCTTCAAAATGACTCTAATTAAAAGCAAAAATTAAAAAAAATAGCAGAAAATTGTTCTCTCGTGTGTCTTGAATGTGGCGATAATTTCTTTGTTCATAGGTCTAGTTTTATTTATTATGTTCATGAATGAAGCACTTAAGTTTCTTTGTCTAATTTAATCACTCCAAATACGAATAATAATTATAAATCAATTTCGTCCAATTGAGTCCCATGAATCTACTCTTTCCAGATGTGTTTGTATTCTTATATTTTTTTAATAGTCAAGCTTCATTGAATCAAGAAGTCCCCTTCCCCTTCCAGAAATCGACTTTCCTTTAAATGGTTCTAATAATGATGGGGATGATGTTTGATTATTTGGGATTAAATAAGATCATTTAATTGCCAATGTTTATGATATTTTAAAAGGATGCGAGTTGTTTGAGGGATCTAAAGGTTTTGGTTTTGGTTCATTTTTGAATTGATTCTTCAGTTTTTGGTTTCGGTATTCAATTTCGTTTAGGTGGATCAATTTTTGTTAATTTATTGTTATGGCTTAAGGAATTGCTTTCGTGTTTAGTATAGCTGAAGATTTGGACGTTTTGATTCTGTTTTAGTGTTTCATAAACATATTACTGAAGAATTATTGTTCTTTAGTCTTCCAAGGGTTGTTTGACTAATAAGGCTATATTGGGTAATTTAAAATTATTTTGTTTTGGATGCTAATTTTTGTTTTGGCAATATCATCACCCTTAATATAAACTAGATGCTTGGCCCAGGCAGATGCCCGGGTGCCCCCTCTACTTTAATTTTGTGTTAATAGATAAATGAATTTTTGATTTGGAAAAAATAGCTACACATTTATTTTTTCCCTTTTTTAGCCAAAAATAAAAATAAAAATAAAAAATCATCAGCAAAAGAAGAAAAAATATTAAAAGTACACCGATGCAGAAATCATACAAAAGAATGTGGAGTAATAAATTGAGAATACAGGATGTTGATGTGGCAGATTCTTGTTAAAAATTTTTGGCTCCAAATGCACCATATTGCACTAACCATTCTGCCACGTGTCATTCATTTTTAAAAGGAAAAAAAATTCTTATCCGGAAAAACAAAATCTACTTTACAAAAATAACTACATAATTTTAACTCATAACATTTATCATTTATCAATCAAATTAAAATAGCATTTAAATTTGCCATAAACTTATCCCCTTTATTACTTCACATTATTTTGTATGATTTCTGTATCGTTGTACTTTTCAATATTTTTTCTCCTTTGGCAGATGATCTTTTTATTTTTATTTTTATTTTTGGCTAAAAAAGGAGAAAAAAAAACCAAATGTGTAGCTATTTTAGTTTTTTCAAATCAAAAATTCATTTATCTATTAACACAAAATTAAAGTAGAGGGGCCTCCGGGCATCTGCCCGGGACAAGCATCTAGTTGACATTATAACAAACAACATCAACAAATTTAGGTGTTTGTTTAGGAAATGAACACATGTAGTATGATTTTTTGTTTGAACATATGGTATAAATTTAAAATTAATAATGAAATTACTAAATTATTAACTTGAGTTATAACTTGATCACGATACAATTACAAGAAATAAAATAGTAGTAGTATAATATATTTGGTAGAATTAAATTTCCAGCGCAATACAAACTTTTCTTTAAAAAAAAAAAAAAGAAGAAAGAAGAAAGAAGAATATACATACATACAACTCCTAAAATAAATAAGTAAATAAAAAAAGAACTGATAAAAATTGGGGGAAAAAAGCCCATCCATAAAATAAGAAGCCGTCTCTATCCTATTATGGTTTTCAATCCTTGGTGCCGTACAAAAAACCTTTTTCAGAGTTATATTTTCTTTTTTTTTTTTTTGCTTTTCCCTAATACTCCTTCTCTTTCTCTCTCTACCATCTCTGTGTTGTTTTTTCGCGTCTCTCTCTCATCATAATCTCTCTTTCTCTCTCTCGCTCATCCAGCCTTCTCTCTCTCTCTCTCTCTCTCTATCAAAAAACCACTGTAAGTTTTTATTATTTTTTGCCCCAAAAATTTCTTGAATTCTCAATTTCACAATTAATGCAGATGTACCTCTTTTAGTGTTTCATAAACATATTACTGAAGAATTATTGTTCTTTAGTCTTCCAAGGGTTGTTTGACTAATAAGGCTATATTGGGTAATTTAAAATTATTTTGTTTTGGATGCTAACTTTTGTTTTGGCAATATCATCACCCAAATTGTTATTTTCTCTCTCTTTCTCTCTCTCTCTCTCTCGCTCTCTTAATTTTTAATATTTTTTAGTAAATTTTTTCCAAACCTGATTATGACCTTATTATGAACATAATAAGCAATTGATTTTTTTTAATCTTTTTTTAAATTTTTTAATATCTAAATAATGCATGGTGGATTTTGATTCCACCTGTTTCAAACATAAATTGAAACCCTTACCTATGTTCAGATCTTTTTTCAGTGTGTGTTTTAGGTTTTTTTATGTTGAGATTGTACAAAGGTATTATAAAATTAGACATTTATTAATAACTTGAAAAAACTATAAAAAAAAGTTCCAAACAGATTAAAAATCGAGTGCTGTGTTCAGTAACGCTAACGGTGTTGAGAGAGATGAGGTGATGGAATGACATAATTAACCGTACTAAAATAAAAGGAAAAAAAATAAATATAATAAAAAAAGTAATTGGCAAAAGAAATAAATACCAAATTAAAAGTAAAATTTATGAAATTAAGTAAAATTTACTTGTTACTCCAGGTTAATTATAGGTCATCGGATGGTTACGCTCATTTTTACAAACCTTGGGATATAATCACTTAAATTTAAAAATTTGGGATGAATTGACTAACCGAGGGTAAAAGTTAGGATGTATCTGCCAATATTCCCTATTTTAAAATATCAAAGACCTCTTAACCTGAAAATAATAACAATATTTTGAAGACTTGAACCATTAGTTTGATCTGGAGACATCGGGATGATGTGTACTGATGTCATAAACTTTTAAGAAAGAAAAGAAAATAAAAGATAACTGCAAATGATGGTTTTACTTTTACACTTCAATGCAAATGATCCCCGCACACTCAGTACACATTCAACCACTGTTTGTGCCGAAAAAATCACCTTCAATCGTGGGAAAGAAAAGAAGGTAAAAATCTCTCAAGTATAAAATATCAAAACGATTGTGGATGAGTTCGAAAACATGCCTCGGACTCTGAATCGGGGACTTACGGTTTACTTTGGTTCGTAAAAGAATAAAACGAAGAAATAGATAGTGGAACAAGCCAAGCGGCTCAATTTATATATAAACAGAAAAAAGGCCTAGCGCCGACAGGGAACTCCCAAGTGGATGACACGCTATTACAATGACTCAGATATTACCGCCGACTAGACGTAGCCGATGACACGCTATGACACGGACCAGAGATACTAGCACTGACATGGAAGTCCATATCGATGGCACACTTACAGAGATAGAAATCGGACGTGCAGAAGGTAGTCCGACATAAGTGCTAGAGACACCTATTACATGAGATTGAATTCACTGAAGTAAAATCCATAACAACTACCTATTTTTATGAAGGAAAAACAGGCAAACACCTATTGGTTGCTAGGCTACATCGAAAAAGACATAAATAAAGATATAAATGGAAAAGGGACTAAAAGAAAGAAAAATAAAGGAGGCGGCGGAGGCCTTTGATGTGTTGTTTATGATGTGATCGTGGGATGATGATGTTGATGTTGCGCGCTGCCTTGCTTATATAGGAATAGTGGCCGTGGCTTTTCCTTAGAGCAAAATCTAGGTCAGCCGTCCCTAGAATGTAGGAAACTTCCACCAAAGCCTTGTGTGAATTGGAGTCCACGTGAATGACTTCATCCACAAATTATATGGGGTACCCGGAGCTCCCAAGTTAGGGAGCTCCGAGACAAGAGCGTTCAAAGTACGCTTAAAACATTGTGTGAAACAATTTTTATGTTTTACGTTTTTTTTCCTCTCTCTCTCCTTCTCTCTCCTTCTCTCTCCTTCCCTCTCCTTCTCACACACGCATCTTCCTCCTCTTGAACCCTCCCTCTGGTGGCTTCCTATTTCAGATCTACAATAATTTGTAGATTCAAAATCAAATCGAACGCGTGTATACTTACAATCAAAGATAATTTGTATCATCTTAAATCCTTCGCCATCTTTCTCTTCATGGAAAATCTCCTTAACATT